GAATCACTTATATTGTATAGCTTTAAAAATGCTGTTTTACAAAGAGCATAGGTTGAATTAAAACAATATCTATAGTTTATCCTTTGTTGGATCTTTTCAGAAGATTTTTTATAATTTTTATTCTCTATTTCCATTGCTAAAAGTTGTGCTTTTAAAAACAAATCTAATTCTTTGCTGTTTAGATTAATAATTTGAAAATGTCTTTCAAAAAACTTTTTAAATCCAATTCTTTCAAAGCAAGTTCTAATATCTTTTTCTTCTTCAGAACATTTGCAACTTTCTGGACTTTCAAAAAACTTTATTAAATTATGTACAATAAATTGAATATTTTCATAATTTTCATATTCCTCTAAACCAAGTTCAAATAAATCATAAAAATATTGAGAAGCTCCTTGATTAGTTGACATGTTTAATTGGAATTAATAAAAGAAAATTTAATTTAGAAATATTAATTATTTGCAAATTTTTAATTAAATTGTGTGTCACAAACCAAAAAAGGGGTAATAACTTTGTTTCTAGATTAAAAAAATCAGGGGTTGTTTTGATTAGTGAAAAACAAAATCAGCTGATTTCTCAAAAACCCCATTTTTTCCCGAACTATCTTTTTGTTAGCATGGAACCCATATATTAAGAAAAAAGATGGATTCTTAAAAAAAAGAGCATATATAAAAAAAAAAAAAAAACTAGATAATATATGAAAAAAAACTCATTGTGATAATAATTGCACAATAAAAAGAACAATGATTGTAATTAGTAATAATATTATATAAATATAATAGTAGTAATTATGATTATTATCAGTGTGTAAAAAAAACGTACTCTCGCAATTTTATTTTGTCCTCTACTACAAAAAAACTAACAAAATCAAATATTACTAATACTAATATATATTAACCCTTTAAAGACTCTCTACCACTATTGTTATTATTAAAATAGTTAATTAACCACTGCTAGCATATTCTAATGGTATAAAGGATTTTCTGAAGATTTATTTATTAATAGGCGGAAGGCTCATATTTGAAATATAAGAAGTTTTACCAATACCAGCATTGGTAGGAGGAGATGGTAAGCCATATTGAATATGAGAAGAAGATAACACATTATTATTGTTGTTATTATTATTAGAATAATGATCATTAATAACACCATTATTTACACTATTTTTTGTATGAGCATAATTCAAAGTAGGAAGAGAACCACCATTTCCAACAACATTATTATTATTATTGCTTATCGCTCGATCCAAGTTGATTAAAATTGCAGTTGATTTGTTAAGTAACATATTAAGATTAGCAACTTCGCGTTGCAATTCTTGACGAACTTGTAAAATTTGTTGAGTGGTGTTTGGATCATTTGAATTATTATTATTATTATTCTTAACAACATTCTGATGATTATTGAGATTATGATGAAGGCTATTATATCCAATATTGTTAATATTATCATCATTAATAATTGAAGGAATTGAAGAAATCGGAGGAAGATTTGTAGTAATGGGATGATTCAATAGAGCAGAAATGGAACTTGGAGAACTTGAAATAAAGTTTTGAGTAGAAGAGTCATTGTTATTGTTGTTACTTCTAAAATGATTATTAGAATAGACTGGAGGTAAAGGAAAACAAGGGGTTTCGGTGAGATGATTATTACTAGTACTACCACTACCAGAGTTATTTGGATAAATATGAACTTGAGCTTCAAAAGTTAGGCTGCTTCTTCTACTTTCATTACCGTAATTATTATTCCAAACAAGATCAGATTGGAGATTATGGTGTTGTTGTTGTCGTCCAGGAAAAATAATATAATCTTCAATAGGAGGAACTCTCTTGCTGTTACAATGCCGTTTATTAGAGTTAATAAGATCAGCAACTTTTCTTTTATGAACATTATTATTAGTGAAGGTATTATTTTTTTTGAGTAAACCATCATCATCAAGAGAAGAATTATCATCTTCAGAAGAGTTGTAATCAGATAAAGTTGTGGGAGGTGTAGGAGGTGAGTTAATGATGTTGGCATTAAGATTAAGATTGTTGTTCCTACCATTGTTATTTTGCGCAATGCAAGATTTATGAATATGAAGAAGAACTTTCCTTTCATCATCATCATTATTATTATCATCATTATCAGTTAGATCATTTTTTTGTTGAGAAGATGTAGGTAAAGGAATACGTTTTCGACGTTTGATGACAGATCTTTTCATAGTTGGGGGACGAGGAACATTGTGAAGTTTGAAGTAAAGGCCACATGCATTACAGATCGTGTTGCCAGTTTCATCTCTTCTCCACAGAGGAGTGGTATTAGTACCACAATTAGCACAAGTTAAGACTTGACGATTAACCTGATGTTGATTAAAAGCAGGACAACCATCACAAGAACTATTTCCACCTGTTCCATCACAATGACCATCACCAGGGCAGGTGCCACTACCACTATCACCACCATTATTATTATTAAAGTTAGAATTATTGTTGCTATTATTGATATTACTGCCACTATTGCTGTTAGAGCTGGTATTAATGTCACTGTCATTATCATTGTCATTATTGTTAGAAATATCAGTAGATGGTGATGATTCGTTAATTGTAATAGACACTTTTTTAATAGCATTACGTTTTAGCCAAGGAGGACGAACAGTATTACGAGCTTTTAGATAAAGACCTATATTTTTTTAATTATCAAATTAATAAATATTAAATGAATTGATGATGAGAAAAAAACGTGGTAGGAATATTTACCACAAGCATTACAGATTGTCTCACCACTAGGAGCTCTCCTCCATAAAGGAGTAGTAGTAGTACCACAATTAGTACAAGCTGTGGCAGAAACACCATTATTTTCAGATTTACGGGATGAAAATGAAGGAGGGTTTGAATTTTTTCCGGTTAAAGATGGTAATTTTTGAGAAAATTGGAAAATTTTTTGTTGTTCATCAAGTTGACCGAGAAGTTGTTGTTGTTGAGAAGAAGATTGGTGATGCATCGTTGAATGGAGATGTGATGATAAATTATTATTAAATTCCATAAAATAATTAGATAATTTAAATATATAAAGTTTTCAAGAAAATAATATATTATGATAATAATAATATAAGATGAAAAAAAAAATTAAATTTTTTCTTTAGTATACTGTTCCTTAAGATAGAAAGAGTATAAAATTTCGGGCTTGTTTTGGTTTTTTTTTTTGAAAACTAATTAAAAAAAAAAAAGGTAATATTTATTGACGAGAATAGTGATTTTTGTTAGTTGAAGCAGTTTATTGTGAAATTGATGATTTTTTTTAATGGAAGAGAAAGAGAAAAATAAAAAAAAAAAATTTTTGTGTTTGGCTCTGTATGTTTTACTTTGTCAAGAGCTAGCCAAAGATTTAAAAAGGGTTTGAATTTTTTCAGATGAAAGTTGGGCTTTCGATATGGTACAATGCAAGAGTACGGTTTGTAGTAGCAGGACGAGAATATTTAGTTATGAATGTAGAGGCCCACTTATGCATTGGACAAGTGAGGGAAAACGCTAAATAATTAGCGAAAAAATTTTGCGAAATGTAAACTAAAGAAATTTTGAATAAATTAAAACTAAATTAATTAATTAATTAAATGTTAATGTTCTCTTTTTGTTTGCGTATGAAGAAAAAAAAATTTTTTTTTGAAGATGATTTTACTATTTTTTTTATAATATAAAATACTTTTATTTTAATATTAAATTTTTAGAGGTACTCATTAAAAATAAATATGTAAAGAGAATGGAATGTTAAAAAAAGGATGATGAATGTATTTATACATGAAAATTTTTTTAGATAATGTTCGTGTAACGTCCAACGAGATAAATAGATAAATTAGATAAATAATAATAGATAAATAAGCCCAATAAAATAATAATAAAATAATAAAATTCCCCTTTTTTTATTGTAAAGAAAAAAGAAATTTTTTTGATGAAAGAAAGAAGTGAAAAAAAAATTTTTTAAGCTTTTCAAATTAACTCACGTGAATTAATATTTTTGGATTAGTCTGGATTAATTATCATAAAATCTATATAGGAAAGATAGCACCCCATTTTAAAATAGGGGTCCCATCTTTTAGGGTACTATCTTTCCGAACTTTACGGTAGTATTGTCAAATATTAATATTAATATTAAGATTACAGTTACTATTCCCAATTAACGTAATATGCTAGATAATGTGTAAATCATATGATTTATACATATCAAGTAATTTTGAATTTTTTATTTTCCCTTTTTATACACCTTCTTATTCATCATCCTCCTCCTTTCTTCTTAATATTAACGATTCTATCTTATTTGTTTTATAATTCAATTTAGTGTTGGTAGAATTGTATCTAACACAAGAAATTTTTTCAGTAAATTTTTTTTTCTCATTTTTTCAGCGAGGAAGAATAAAAACTGCATCGTAAATTTATTGATTAACATTTTTTTACGTGACCATTTTAGGCAATTCACAATTTATTATTATGTGTAAATACAGACAGCGAAGACTCTTAGTCGCAGAACTTTTTATTTGCTGTGTTAAACCCTTTAATTTTCCAAAATTGAAATGTAAAAAACCAATTAAGCCTCAAAGTTTACCATGTTAACCCCAAAATTGGCTGTCGCACAATTTTTTTTATTTTACATTAAAAAATGAAGAATTGACGCATTTGAAAATCTGTAACAATAATAACAATTGTTTATGGCTATGTAACAATTCTTTAATCATTAAAGTCATCTTTAAACGAAAAATTCCGCCAACAATTACTGTCCAATTTTTGTGTAATACACTGACTGTATAACCGAAAAATAGTGTTATGGTGTAGAAAGTTCAACGACCAAATGGCTTGCACTTAAAGACACCAGCCGTAATTGGTTATTGCAGCAATAGTAACTACCATAGTTTAGTTACCATTATAAAATAATTACGGCTGCTGCAAATATAGTTGGCACTATACATGCAGCCTAAACTATTATGACTTTTGACATGCCATACGTAATGTAATGTCATAATCATGCCTTAATGTCGTAATAATGTAAGGATAGGAAATATTGGGTCACATGTTCGCAATATGATCAGCTTCAATAAATGGTTCTATAAACAATAAAAAAATTTATTTACATAAAAATCATCATAGCTTTTTTGACCAAGAGGAAAATTACTAATGACCACGGACTATGAACTATCTACTATTAGCTAGCAACTACTTAACTAATTATATCAAAGCTCCCTATAACGAACCTCCGAGAAGCGAACTGCACTCTATAACGAACTAAGATTTTAGTCCCGATTTTTTATTAATGAAATTTGCTCTATATAACGAACTTTATAGTTAAATTCTCTATTCTGTATAATGAACTGTCTTTGGAGGAACCAAATACAAATTTATATAATAATAATAAATAATGCTCTCTATAACGAACCCGCGTAACATGAACTTATTTATTATTGAAAAATTAGAAAATTTATTCTTCTTCTTCTTCTTTTTACTATTATTATTTGTTATTGTTGATACTAATAATAATATGCCTGAAATAATTCTTTCTTCTTCACCTGTATTACATAAAAATGCTTTGTTGTCAATAGAAAAAAATCAAAATTATACTTTGAACAACAAACAGACAAGTCACAATTAACTGATAATGAATTGAGATTAATAAAAGAAATGTCAAAAATATATTTAATTCAAAAGAACAATTAAAAATTGATAATTATATGAATAACACTTAATTTTTATATTTTATTTTCGTTTTTATTTTATGAATGAATGCGAAACTTAATGACTCGTGGCCAATAAATTATTCATAATATGCTCACGTGACCAGAAATGAGATGATCGACAATTCTTTATAGTGAACGCTCTCGCTCTCTATAACGAACCAAAGTTCTCGGCCCAGGGGGTGAGCTTTGACTGTAATTAACATTTCAGAGCCTTGCTCATAAGAGTAGAGGTAGAAAATTGTTATTAATTCATTTCTGTAGCAAATATTTTTACAAATTAATTCTTTTAATGAAAACACCTTTGTGGAAATTAAACAGTAGGGCTTAATTGTTTATTTGGTTATCAGAATGGTATAGAACTAGAGTTCTATTCATAATGCAAATTCTTATTCAAATTATTTTGTTTCATTCAAATAAACTTTCAATGTAATTCGAATACTCAAATTCATAATGAATAATTCGAATAAACCTTATATAAAGCCCTATACTCTTAGCAAAAGTTTCGGATACATCATTTATGCAAAAATGTACATAATAAAAATATAAATAATTTTTATCAAATCGTAATAAATTTTTCAAGAATATGTATGCGAAATTTCGTATTTTTGTATTTTTGTAATGTCTAGAAGAAAAACAGTTAAAATAAAACAAAAAGTTCGACCAAAAATCTGAAAATTATAGTTTGCCCAAAAAAATTTATTTATTTATTTATTTATACCACTTATCAAAAACACACACAATAACCACACCTGAAATTTAATTATTTGCCTGCAAACCTGTATTTTCATTAAATTGGTCTTTTTTATTCAGCAGATTTACGATTTTCTTTTTTAACAATTTTCTTCAACTCATTCTTATGGTCAACACTCAAATGTTTAAGGCGTCCACTTTTTGATAACTCTTTAACACCATCTCTCTCCTGGAAGTTTTTAATTATTCTGGTCACAGTTGTAGCCTAATTACAGAATTACAACATTACGGCTATCACTCAGATGCCGTAATATTATGACATTCGCAAATCAATTTAGGTTGCATGTATAGTTGACACTGTAATTCTGTAATTCCGTAATTTCGTAAATAATTTTGGTCATCGTAAATAGTTCCAGCCACGGTAATTCCGTAATACGGTGCAGATCATCTATAATCATTAATTGCTTATAGTAACAATTGGTCAACTTCAAAATACTAATACAAAAAGAAATTATATCATTTTAAAAAATTTAACCGATAAGTTTTATTATCCATGACTCAAGCTTCAAACTTATCGGCTGGTTATTTCTTAAACTGAAAATTGGCAGAGCCTTAGCACTTTGAAAATTCCGAATTTTGTTATACATTTAAGAAATTGAGAC